AAAACTCCCGAAGGTATTGGGGCAGGCGTTCACGGGCCAAGGCTAAAGCTTTCGGTACCCATGGGCGTATACCCAAGCATCTTTCAAGCGGAAGTCTGTGCCATAAGTCTGTGTGCAGAGATTAACCTGCGTAGGAACTATCGTAATGAAAATATTTTGATCATGGGCGACAGCCAGGCAGCACTCAAGGCCCTATTATCATTTGAGGTCAAGTCCTCTCTGGTTCTGGAGTGTATTGATAAGCTCAACGCCCTGGCGGAGTACAACGACATCCAATTAACTTGGGTGCCAGGTCACGTAGGAGTTGTCGGCAATGAGGAAGCGGACCGACTAGCTAGGAAGGCAGCCGCCTCGTTGCCTATAGGGCCTGAGCCCTTCATAGCGATTGGTCCTAGTACAATCAAGGAAGAGCTCAGGAAGGAGAGGAACACAGTAAGGAATCAGCACTGGCGTAACACGGCAGGCCAACGCCAGGCTAAAAGCCTACTGGGAGGTTACAACCATACAAGGTATAGAGCAATAATAAACCTTCCCAAAGAAAGGGTAAGGATATTGACAGGCTTTCTGACGGACTCTGGCCAAGTGAGGAAGTCTTACAATCGCTAGCCCCCGGAAATCTCCTTAAATTTTTGGGTTCTCTGGGATTAGATGAGGTACTCTAAACAGTCGAGGGCACAATAGATCATTTGGTCGCAGTGCATACCTCTACTTAATCTATCTATCTATCTATGCATGATCTCCATATAATCAAAAATCTGCGAAACCTGGAAAAAAAATTGTTCCCCTCGTCTTCGTTTTCGGCGATTTGGGTCATATGCTTTTAAATTAATACAATTTATATATAGGGGTCCGTGATTTTTTAGTCCCGGGCCCCGAGTTTTCTCTCGACGGCCCTGGATGTATACGATGCTGGCCAAAAGAGGCCTGAGCAATTCGCTTATACTGTAAAAAAAATTTATATATCTTTTGCAATTTTTTGTAATGATGACAACGATTTGAGGTTAAACACCAGTAAACAGCAGTATATTATTGCAATAAAATGGTCAGTAAAATAAAAGAACTTCACATGCATTAAATATACACAAAGGTCATTTAAAATAATATCAAAATTTCAAACCTTAAGTCCACTAAGCAAGGCATTATTCAACAATATCAATATTCACATAAAAGTAAGTCTGTGCATATGTAACATATTATCACCACAAAGTGAACTACTCAACTTATAGTTACGAACGATTTTTTAGTCTAGGGCAAAAATAATTTGAATACCTGTGACTAAAAAACGGGGTTTTAGTTGTATGAACTTTCTTATAATCAAACATACATATATTAAATTTAAAAAAATATAAGAGGATATCTAAAATGGATATAAAAAAATACTGGATTTTAAGTGAAAAAAATTTCAGAAAAATTATTAAGAATATATTTTACTTCTGTCAGGTAACTTAAGAAATTCGTTCAGAAGTAATAATTATGTGTGCGTAGAACATGTGTAATTCATGTTGCCATGCACCTTGCTTAGTGGATTATTGAAATAGATTAGAAACATTTTAATAGCCACATATAAAAATAAAGAATTGTGCAATAAATTTTCTAATCTGAATTCATTAAATATTTTGCACATTCAATGGCGCCTTTGAAATTCAACACAATTTCGAAGAGGTTTTCTAGTTTTGAATAGTATGTGGTATGTATTTTAGTGCGCTTATTTTTATATTGAACGCCATCAACCATTTTTGTAATGACATATGATATCCAGAATATATTAGTGCGCGGCTCAAAAGTTTCCCAGTTATTGCTGTAATTAAATATCCGCATATTAATTATTAACTCAACCAGCAATTAGCAATTAAAAAATACCTTAATATGTCACGCATCATACGGTAGATGTCAAATTGATAATCACCTGTGGCAGTGAAAAGCTCTTCATCACACGAGATATCATTGTAATGGCAACAATTGTCAAAGGTCATACGTGAAAGTGTATAGTCGATTAACGTAGCTCTAACCCCCTTTGTAGGCACAATGTATGCCTGATTGTCTAATGTAAATTTTAACTCCTTCATATTTGTATTTAGTATTAAAATATTTCCCCAATGTAAATCTCGATGCTCAAACTGATATGCTTGTTCAGCTACAGCTAGTGTGAGTATGACCTGGAGAGGGATATTGAGAAAAAAAAATTCAATTGAAAACAGTAGACTTCGAGCTTCCTGCAAACAAAAGTTCCCGAAATATTTAGTAGTATCTTATTTCTGTAACGATTTTTTTACGAATCTTCAAAGAAAATTATATGAAGTGGTTGACACGAACTCGTAAAGAAATTTCTGTACGAAAAATAAAGAAAATTCTGCTGAAAATCCTTCAAACAGCAGCATTACTTTCATTGATTTACCGATTTCCTTCCGAAATTTCGTAAAAGAATCGAATCATTTTAGAAAATTCAGAATACTCTGAAAAAATGATTTGCAGAGTTATTACGAAACAAAAGTTATCAGTATAATTTTACAATCTTAAAAATATATGCATATTTTTTTTTTAATACCTGCAGAAGAGCAAAGTATGCTTGTTCAGCATTTTGAAATTGAAAACTCTCTAAGTCTCTGCCGCAAAATTCCAACTCTAGTACTATATAAATTTGTGTTGCATCAAAGATATCTGGATGATCATTTTCCGAACCTTTTTCCTCATCAAACGATTCCCACAATTTTTTTAAATGCTGCGGATATTCTCCTTTAACACAGGCAACCTAGAAATAGACAAAGTAAAACATGTGTATCACGTTCATCAACCTATTCATTCTACCTTTTTAACATTCACAAAACCATTTGTCATGTTTACTATATCTTTACGTAAGTTGGCTAACTCCATCGATATGACTACCTCCGTCAATACTTGCTCATAGGTTTTTTGTTTCTCGCCATTAACTTCAATTTTGCCCTCAATCGGTATAACTTTCATTACAGTGCTACTTGCGTCTGTCATCTTACGTTTACTTGTTGCATTTAAAAATACCTCTCCATAAGCTCCTTCACCAATTTTCACACAATAAGGCATTTTATTAGCAGAATACAATTCTTCAAATGGCAGAGGAGTCTGTTGGTTACAACGCTCCAAAACTTTCTCTTCCCACACATCATCGGTTACGGGTGTGGCATCAACTACACGACTTTCGAATTCCTTTTTTAAATATATAGATTTTCTATTACCCGCAGCAGTGCCAACAAAGCCGATATACTCTACAGAAGTGTTGCGATTTCCCGATTGCCGGTTGATCAAGGAACTTGACCGTTTTTCAACTGAATTTTATATTGATCATTACCAATTCAAGAAATTTTAAAGTTTAAATTACCTTGTTTTCGTCGCCACACGCTGAACGATTTTCGCCATTTTCCTGGTTGCAGTGTAAGACTTGGAATGCGTTGCTCCGTAATTTCTTTGTGCTTTTGGTTTGTATGATCTAACGACGGCTTAGTTAACGTTTTCCCTAATGAGTTTTCAACAACCGGCTCAAAGCATACATGCCTTGAATTGGTTGCGCGTATGCCAACTCTTGTCCGTTTTAACTTTTTACCTAATGTGGAAGCAACATCATGGTCTTTAGGTGCTGTAGGATCATCCGGTTCATCGTAGTCTACGATAATCGTAGGATGTTTATAAATTTAACTTTTATATTAGTATTTGTCTCTTATACATACCCACTACAGTAATTGTGGGTTTCACTGGTGTGCATTTTACATAGCTTTTGTCTTCATTCACAACACACAATTCCCGATCATTAACAGCGTTCTTCCCTTTATCAAAATATAGCAGTCGCCAAGCACCTATTGGCGATAAAGAGCATTTAAACGGATCAACTTTGAAGCCACGATGCACCTCAGGCGTTGAAATTGAGCTGGTTTTGCGAGCTTTATCTTCAAGGTTTAAAGAAATTTGGGTCGTTTTCAAAAGATCAGATTCATTGGCTTTACTATTTATGCTGTTTTCAACACTTGAATCTCGATTAAATGATGCATGTACTTCCTTTTTCAAAATATTCAATTCACGCAATACTCTAGGATCGAAGAAATACATAAAAAGCAGCTCCACACAGTAAAAATAAATAAATATAAACAAATACAAACGGTCTTGGCTCCAATAGCTTGTCAAATGAATCTAACCAGGCACCATCTTCTAAGGTACTGTCCATATGTAAACTTCCCTCAGAATTTCTACTCATATCAAAAGTATATAAAATAAAATTTTAAACTAATATTTTGGCACAAATATAAAATATTGTGGAAATACGCGCCCAGCTAAAATAAAAAACATTTGAATATTTGCTTGTGATTGACAGCCAGTTACATTCTTCACAATCAATTGGTGCAATCAATGCGAGGCAGCATTAAGCATGGGCTACATATGCAAGCTGAAATTCTACTTTAATCATGTGTACACACATATTTTAGTATAGCTATAGCATTCATTTGCATGAACCAATTAGAACAGATCTGACCGGTTGAGAAGCAGCCATTTGTAATAGCAATTGAGAAAAAAGTGTGTGGCATTCATAATTTGGAAGCTTGCTATTTTTTTTTTGCTTGTGGGCGTGGCGAAAACCAAACCCCCCCTCCCGCGCCCATTTTATGGAGGGCATGAACCGCCATTCCCAAATATGCAACCGCTGACCACCTAGGCCCCCTATAGGTCCCTAGGGACCCCTTAGCCAAATGGGCAAAAATCACAATCACCTGCGTTTTCGCCAATTTAAAGCAAATGAAGGCACTGGCTTGTACCTGCACTCAGCGTTCTCAAAGCGTGGTATAATATATGTTAAAAGAGAGTATGACAGCGAGCCACTATCTATCGACGACATGGAAAACCTGGAATATCTTTTAAAGAGTGTTCAAAAAAAAAGCAGGGAACAATTGTTGTTTTCGTGCTTCCCAGGATCATAAACAATGTAATTTGGACAACAGAGAGAACCTGCAACAAATTTGCATCAACAACTGCGAGTAGAAGTAATGGCGTAAATCTTAAAACTCTGTTTGAGCTGAATTTTTTTGCCTTTTTCCTTTACTTTTTTAAGTTAATTTTTTCACCCTTTATGTACTGTTTAGACCTAAACAATGCCAAGCTGCCTTATGTTCGTTTACGTGCTTTTACGAATGTGCTTTTTATTTCATTGCGCTGCTCAGTCAATTCTAAGAACTATGATTTATCGTCATAAAGGTCATGTGAGTTCCGTGGGCAATACTCATGCCACAATTAGGGCCGGTTGCTCAAAGCCTGGTTGACACTAATCATCGATTAACATCGTTATCGACGTTTTCGACTCCATTCAAATAACATGGTGTCGGTAACGTCGATAACGATGTTTAACCGAGGATTAGTGTCAACCAGGCTTTGAGCAACCGGCCCTTAAAGTTCTTCGCAAACAGAGAAGTGGCTTAAAAATTTGTCATATAGACTCTCAAAGTCTGAATAATAAAATTGATGAGTTCAGATATATTATTGAATCCTCCTCTGTAGACATAATATGCATATCTGAAAGTTGGTTTAAACAATGCTACACAGGTAATCTATTTGAGATGAATGGTTACAATTTGTTTATTTTATATAAAGAATAGCATTAAGGGCCGGTTGCTCAAAGCCTGGTTGACACTAATCATTGGTTAACATCGTTATCGACGTTTTCGACTCCATGCATATAACATAGTGTCGGTAACATCGATAACGATGTCTAACCGGGGATTAGTGTCAACCAAGCTTTGAGCAACCGGCCCTAAGAGCAGATTCATTAGCAATTCAAGGACCGACGATGAAATTGAGTACCTTTTTATTGAAGTTGTACAAGGCGTCGATAAATTATTGGTTGGGTGCATTTACAGACCTAATCGCAATGTAAACAATAGTCAATTTACTGAGCTTCTTCACACAATCACGTTGCCGTATTCAAATATAATTCTAACTGGTGACTTTAACTGTAATGTTCTATGCGACGACTCTTTGCCTAGTGAACTGCGGACATTGGGTCTTAACCTTGTGAACTTCACCCTTCCTACACATTATACTGCAACAAACAATACGCTGTTAGATCTTTTCTTTGTTAGTGATGTTTCAAAAACGTTAATGTTTGACCAATTGTCCGTGCCTGTCTTCTCAAAACATGACCTAATATTCCTCGTTTATGACTTTCAGTCTATAACCTCTACCCTAACGATCACCTATAGAGATTTCAAAAACATTAATTATGAACAGCTTGGTACGAAGATAAACACAATAGATTGGTCTTGCGTATATTGTATGGAATCCGCAGAGGATCAAATAACCTATCTAGAAAATAATCTTACTTTGTTATTCGATGAGTTTGTTCCTTATAAAAAAATTATTACACAAAAACCTCAACATCCATGGTTTAGTATCGAAATAAAAGACCTCATTGTTAAACGAAACAACGCTTATAAGCGATGGAAACGTTTCAGACTTTCCTTCTTGTTTGAAAGTTTTTGTTCGATCCGAAATGAGGTCGCGAAAAAGATTAAAAATGCAAAAAGGCTATATTATGAAAAAAAATTCTCCCAAATCGTGGGAAGTAAAGGTAATTGGAAGGAAATAAAGAAGATAAATCTAGTCAGCAAACATGTACGTGACATAAACATAGATGATATCACTAAGCTTAATGCTGATTTTGCTTCAAACTCATATGCCTCTGATAACGAAATAGACGGTGATTACCAAATCCGTGATAATGAATGTAACTCCTCGTTTAAGTTTGTATGTGTAAGTCAGTTAGATGTTTTGGAATCATTTTTATCAATAAAGCCCAATGCCGTCGGTCTAGATAAACTTCATCCAACATTTATAAAATCTTTGCTCCCTGTTATGCTGCCATTTTTCACACATGTCTTTAATACGATACTCACAACTTCCGCATATCCACCCAGCTGAAAGAAGGCAAAAATTATCCCAATACCAAAGAGTCATAATGAATATAGACCCATCGCTATCCTTCCTTTTTTATCTAAAGTTTTTGAACACATTCTTTATAAACAAATGAATGAATTTTAAACATCCAAAAATCTATTATCACATAAACAGTCTGGATTTAGGAAAAATCGTGGATGCATTACCGCTTTAACCGATGTGGTTGAAGATATACGCGCTGACCTCGATTCAGGAAAATTTGAATTTTTGATTCTCCTAGATCATTCTAAAGCTTTTGACACCGTAAATCACAGGATATTATGTAGAAAACTTTTCAATAATTTCAATTTCTCCTACCACTCTGTAAAATTATTAGCTCTTACCTAGCTGGACGCTGCCAAGCTGTATTCGCAAACAACGGCGTTTCAGACTTTATGCCCTTGAACCGTGGCGTCCCACAAGGCTCCATTCTGGGCCCTTTGTTGTTTTCATTGTACATCAATGAGTTACCAACTGTGATAGGAAAGTGCAATATACATATGTACGCTAATGACGTCTAAATTTATGCAAACTCCGATATTACTGATGTCAATATCTGTATTTCGTTGTTGAATGTAAGTTTAAATAAAATTAACTCGTGGGCTGTTGAAAACTGTTTGTTTCTTAACCCGTCCAAGTCCAAATGTTTAGTTTTAGGGAGAAGAATTATTGAATACACTACGCTACCCAAACTATACATTAATGATATTCCCATTGATTATGTCACTTGTGTAGGAAATCTCGGTATCACTTTCAACAGAAACTTAACTTGGTCGGATCATATTAATACATGCTGCGGTTAAGTGTACGCAATGCTTCGTACCCTTTGGGTTACACAACATTTTACGCCACTAAAAACCAGAATGCTTTTGGCTAAATTGTATCTGATTCCATCTCTCCTTTATGGCTGCGAACTATTTGCAAATTGCGACTCAGTAAGTAAAAGGAAATTGAATGTTCTATTTAACAACATAGCCAGGTATATTTTCACTCTTAAACGTAGTGATCACATATCTGAGCATGCCAAGAAAATCTTCGGTATCAATTTCAATGACTTACTCAAAACTAGAAGTCTGCTCTTATTGCACAAAATCATTTATACTAAAAATCCGAATTATCTATATAACAGAATATCCTTTTTGCGTTCAAATCGTGGAAACAAACTAAAACAACCTGTTTATAATTGTTCGCTATCTGAACGCCTTTTTTTTGTGCACACTACCCGCCTGTGGAACTCACTGCCACATACTTTGCAGGATTTGCGTAGCGCGATGAGGTTCAAGGCTACCCTGTTCAAGCACTTCCAAACATAATGCAGACTGGCTTTAAATTCGCTTAAACTATAATTATATGAATCTAATCTATTCACGAAATGTATAAATTAAATTTTTTTTCTTTACTCTCTATAACTATTCTACGCTATTCCACATTTTTAACAACTATTATCAATTTGTTTTCAAACTTTAATTTCTTAATCTACAATGTTACGCGATTAATATTACTGTTTAGTTTTAAGTACTCGTTTTATTTAATTCGTTTTTATTTCATTTTATCAACTATAATTTGTTTGCTTAATCGAACCTAATACATCATAAGAATCTATTTTTCTTTTGTATTAGCGAAATAATAAAATAAATAAATAAAAATAAAAACGCAGGAGAAACTTGGAATTGTACTAAAATGTATAATTTAATTGTTAAAGTTTATATTAGCGATAAAAAAAAACAATATTTCAACAATGGGTCAATTTCACAGTGCGTAGTTAACTAAGAATCGGCAGTTAACTACAGATTTTTGTTCTGGTTAACTGCCGTTTCTGAGTTAACTACGCACTGTCAAATTGGCCCAATATGTAACAAATTCACAAACCGAAACGAATTTGCAGGTAATAGTTATTTACGTTGGCGGATGTATAACCCAACGAGCAATTATCCACAATATTTTTGCGAATAACTACTACGAGTTATTTGCAAAAATACTGTGGATGATGTAAGAGGTTTCGGCAAGCGTTATAGTCCCAAAGCGCGGCCGAAGGCCGCCTGCACATAAAGTAGTTATCTGCAAACATACCGTCGATGGCGTAAGGTGTTTTGGCCCCCTTTCTTTCGCAACACAGAAAGGAGAATTCTACTAAGTAAGGGTTATAATGCCTAAGCGCGGCCGAAGGCCGCCTTCGCAGAAAGTAGTAATGTACAAAAATACCGTGGATGGCGTAAGGGGTTTCGGCTCCTTTATTTTGCGACACAGAAAGGAGAATTCTACTTAGTAAGGGTTGTAATCCCTAAGAGCGCCAGAAGGCCGCCTACGCAGAAACTTTTTCCCAAAACTACTGTGGATAATTGCTCGTTGCGGTAACCACCGGCCTCTTCTTCATTTGACAGTTCAACGTAAGTAACTAATACATAGCTGCA